TCAGCCTGAAATTGATCGGGTAAGCGAAATGGTCTAAGTGATATCAATACAATCCTTTAGACCCTTCAACGCAATATACTATTTTTATGTATAGCCACAGCTACACTAGTTGGAGCTGACTTAACGTTCAATTATATGAATTCATGACAACATTTCGCTCCCACAGCTGCTACCATACTGTTGTTGTTTTACTGCTTTCAATACTGACAACCTCCATAAACATGAGTATACTTTCATGATATGGTAGAGCAGCCTAACTCTGAGCATTTTTACTTCGTTTTCACGTCGGCGAATTTCGTCACTAGAGGAGCAAAAAGTCTCACAAATAATAACAGCAAGGCAAGATGTAAACAATAATTTCAAAAGGAAAAAAATGCCAAAGAAATTTTGTTCTTAGTTTCACAGCTGCGTCGCTGTACGTCCTTCGAGGTGGGTGATTAAATATATATCAAGCAATTACAAAAAAAGGTGGTGCTCTATTGACATGGGAATGCTGTTTAGCGTGAGAAAGTACTCTCAATAGGATCCATACAAGCAAATTTGATCCTTGATAACTCTGCATAAGTAGGTTAGAATAATTGAGTTGAGCGCCTCTCCGAATATTATCTTCCATTAATTTCAATCTAAGAACAAAATAATGAACAATGCATTCTTGGCCAGGAAACTCAGACAAAATCAAGCTTCTGTATGCTTAAGTTATGTTATCCCATAGAAAAACACTTCGCTTCTTAACAAGAGCAGTCAACAAATCCAATTTTTTAGACGATCAAGGGGCACTAATACCGTAATTGCAGGCCACTTCGGCTAACACACACCTTTTTGATAAACCTAAGCAGTAAAGCACAAAACAATTTTTCCCTCGTTCGGGAAATTTATAACAAAACTAGCAACATAAACTATCTATTTAAGACCGTTGAGCATAAACGATATAAACATCAATCGAAAGTTGAGAACTTGCCTTCTACAACTATTTTGAACTATGATAGAGCACATTCTGTATAAGTCAGACAACTATAAAGACCAAGATAAGACCAAAATATGAACGTACTTGTAAAATTTCTTCAACAATATCTTCCAGTGTAACGACTCCAACATTTTCAAACTTTGGATCTGCATCTTCTGAGGAGACGAATCGATGCACCATGGCTAAGTGGTAATCACCCTGAATCATAACCGTAAAAATGCCGCTGAGAAAACTTTGAAGACTAAGTAAAACCTTTTTGAATTCTTCCAACATGACGCGTAAAGGAGTGTGTTCATCAACGAATCGCAAAGGGTGTTGATGGTAACCACACACAGTCTGTATGGTGAAGTTATCGTCTGGATCGAGTAACGCCAGGTCTTTCACAAACAGCAGTGAAACGACATTATTACGATCACCTAAACATGTACGCTGTTGAATGGTCAGGTGAACAACTTCCACA